CTTGACTCCTTGGCCCTGGTGTGTGAGAACCTGTGACTTCAGATGCCCCAGTTCCCGCACCTGGGGTATGAGAGTCTTCAGAGCTGCAGCCTCTGATTGAAATTTTCCCTCCTTCAGAGATTCCTGGGAAGCCAGAAATCATGGATCCTGCCTCTGAACTCATGGCTGGTGTCCCCAATAAGGTAGTGGAAGAAAAGGGGAGAAGTAGAAAGCAGTCCTGAGAAGAGGAAGGGGGTGTAAGCTGTGCCCGTGTAGGTGTATGCGTTTGTGTGCACATGTGTGTGTAGTCTCCTATTCTCAAAGATGATGGTTACTCTCTCCCCAGGTGGGGACATGTTTGTCCAAGGGGGGCTACCCTGCCGGAACTCTTAACTGGCACTTGGATGGGAAACCCCTCATACCTGATGGCAAAGGTAAGTCCCAAAGTTCCCCCTCCTGCTGCCTTCTTTCTGACCCCTCCCATATCCACCCTGGGAGGTCTTGCCTTGTCCTCCCTTCTCCTCCCCGCCATAGGAGTGTCCGTGCAGGAAGAGACCAGGAGACACCCTGAAACAGGGCTTTTCACACTCCAGTCAGAACTGATGGTGACCCCAGCCCGGGGAGGAGCTCTCCATCCCACTTTCTCCTGTAGCTTCAGTCCTGGCCTTCCCCGGCGCCGAGCCCTACACACGGCCCCCATCCAGCTCAGCGTCTGGGGTGAGTGGAGGTGGGGAGGGCCTGAAAGTTTGGCCCTCAAGGAGGGAAGAGTGAAGCCCATGGCCACAGGGACCACACATAGGTATAACTCTCAACCTCATGCCCCCACCCCCAGAGCCTGTGCCTCTGGAGGTCCAATTGGTGGTAGAGCCAGAAGGTGGAACAGTAGCTCCTGGTGGTACCGTGACCCTGACCTGTGAAACCCCTGCCCAGTCCTCCCTTCAAATCCACTGGATCAAGGACGTGAGTGACCTGGAGAGGGGGCTGGGAAGTAGACAGACACATCACTGGCAACTAGGAGGACAGGAGGCTCATAGAGAGGCAGGCAAGGACCTGGGGAAGACAACAGAATATCGGAAGATATGGAGACAAAGATAGGAGTATGGGACGTGTGGAAACGTATTACACGTTGTAATAGTCTCCTATCCCCCTTCTCCCCACAGGGCGTGCCCCTGCCCCTTACCCCCAACCCTGTGTTGCTCCTCTCTGAGGTAAGACCTCAGGACCAGGGAACCTACAGCTGTGTAGCCACCCATCCCAGCCATGGGCCCCAGGAAAGCCGTGCTGTCAGTGTCCACATCATCGGTGAGGAGACCTCTCTCCAAATCCCAGGAACCCTGGGGCTGGGCTAAAGGATGGTGCAGACTCGAATTCCCTACTCCATCCTGGCACTGTCCCCTCCATGTACCCATACCCAGGCCTCCTCTGCCCCACCCAAGCCACACCAAGACAGCCTGTCCCCTCTCTCCTCTGAACTGAAGAAAGGGAAAGACTCCACTGGGGCTCCCACTAAATAGCCTACTTTCTCTCACATTGAGACCTTCCCTTCTAACTTGCTCTGACTTTGTCTTTCAGAAACAGAGGAGGGGCCAACTGCAGGTGAGGCTTTCCCAAAGGCCAAAGTGACTGGGGGATGGTCGGGGGGATGGTTGACAAGAAAGGAATGGTGAGTGGGAGGGGCCAGGCCCTCACTTCTCTGCATCTCTCTACAGGTTCTTTGGAAGGGCAGGGGCTGGGAACTGTAGCCCTAGCCCTGGGGATCCTGGGAGGCCTGGGGATAGCTGCCCTGCTCATTGGGGCCATCATATGGCAAAGACAGCGACGCCAAGGAGAGGAGAGGTAAGTGGAGAAAGCCAGAGACCTCAGACTTGAGACTTCCAGGCAGCAAGAAGGGAGGTAAGGGGGAGCAATGATGGAGTGCTGGGAACCATGTGCACTATTCTCCCCCATCTTCCTCCTCAGGAAGGCCCCAGAAAACCAGGAGGAGGAGGAGGAGGAGCGCGAAGAGCTGAATCAGTCAGAAGAGCCTGAGGCAGCTGAGGGCAGTGCAGCAGGGCCTTGAGGGATGCACAGCCAGACTCCATCCATCACCTCCATTTTCTTTCCCCCCACCCCTGCTCTGTTCTGGCCCCACGCTAGTTCTTTCCTGTGTAACTGTACCCACCTCACCAAATGTGCTTCCACAACCAGAGCCTCCCAACAGTGAGAAGTAAACACCTTGCCCTATTTGCTCATGTGTGTCTGTGTGTGTATGTGTATGTGTAAGATGCCCTCACCCCTGAACCCTTGAAAGCCTTGAAGGAGAGAGGCTCACCCTCATGCTTCCCCACACCACGCAGATATTTACTCAAGTTAGAGAGAAGCTGCTCCTGTTCTGGAAGGAAGGAGGTAAGGACAAAGGTGGGCAGAGCTTCCATCAATACATCTCACCTTGTTTATTCAATTTATAATAAAGGAGGTAGTGAGGGGAAGGAAGCACTTAAGTCAGAACCCATAATAGACACTGGGGAGAGAAAAATTAAGTTAAATCAACAAGGGGAAAGTAGGGGAGAATCAGAGGGAGACTTGCCCATCTTTCAACACCAAATCAAGAAATGTGGGGGGAAGCAAAGGATCAGTAGAGAGAAGAAACAGACATTCTCTTCTGTCTGTCCTCCCGTCCCAGAGCTGGGAGTTATGATGCTACTCAGTGAGTTCAGAGCAGAAGGTTCTTCCATATTCTGTCACTCCTTCTCCCCGCACCCTCCTAGAAAGTGGCCAGGGTTGGCCTCAGCCAGTACAAATGGAGTGGTTGGGGAGGAGGGACCAGGAGTCAGGAAGGGTCAGCAAGGACCCCCAATACTGATTCTCCTCTGGCCGGAGGTGGGTAGGAAGGAGACAAAACTCAAATACTGAGCAGCCAGAAAAAGAAGAAGATGGCGAGAAACAGGAACAGGGAGTCCTGCCAGCTGGAGGCCGAGTGACCCTGTCCCAGATCCACACCTGTAGGAGAGAGGAAAGCTGTGGAAGAAGCATCCACTCCTACGTTGGGAAGGGGACTGAGGGGGTTCAGCGGGCTCCCTGCTAGGAGCTGAGGGAAGGCTCTTACCTGTACCCCGACGCAATGGGTCATGGGTGTTGAAGACGGTGGTGAAAAAGCCAAAGGGAAAAGCACCAACACCAAATGAGAAGTGAAAGCCCCCGGTATCACCAAATGACTGGAATCCCTAGGAAGGTGGAGAAAGTCAGAGGGGAACAGGGCAGGTCTTTGCAAGGAAAGAACACAATCAGACAAGACTCACCCCTCTGCTCTCCGGAGCTGGTCGCTGGCCCTGGGGGCGGGGTGGAGTTTTCAATCTGAGGAATAGGAGAGGGACTAGCAAGAAGAAGTGTTCTCTCCCCTTCTACACCCCACTGCCAGGGCAGAAGCCTTCCATCTTCCCTCAGCACCAGCCCCTCTCTCTCACCTGGGGTCCTGGGGCTTCTGGCTCCCTCGACCATAAAGAGGGACAACCTTTTCTCTGCTGATCCCAGCTTTACACACTGGGCATTCTTGCCGCTCTGGCCGTGTTTCCAGCCACTGGGGGAGAAAATGAAGTGGTTTCCAGTACACAGCAGGGTCTTTGAACTCCTCAGACCTCCCCATTTCCCTCTTCATCTCCTCTGAGTACGCACCTGATGAAGACAGGGCCAACTGGATGGGGGGGAAAAAAAGAAGGTCAAACCAGCTACAGAAAAGAGACAAGGATCCAACCTCATAGAGCCCCATCTCACCCCCTCTCCCAGGTACTACCTGCTTCTTTTCCCATTTTCTGCAACCTCTACCATGCCAATCTGGCCTTCCTTCTTCTCTGATCTTACAACATCTAAAGCTATATCCATCCTCAACATGCTCAACCTTTTCCTCTCCCTAAACACACAAAGACACACACACACACACACACACACACACACACACACACACACACACA